AAAACTGGTCGGAGATTTTCAAAAGATTTTTACCTGAACGTGTGGAAAAATGTTCGGTCCACCATCGTGTAAATAGCAAGTCTTTCCGACCAAAAACGGCCAAGAAATAGCAAAAAACCGGCAAAAATGTCAAACAGTGTCTTTAATTATCCCAAAGTTCTCTATATAAATATTAGCGTATATTCTCTCCCTTGTGGTGTTACTCTAGGTGGCAGTGTATATAAGTACAAGGTTATTGCTTTTCTTGCTTTCCTACCGCAAATATTTTTTCGTAAAGTTAGCTTTCTTTGGAAAATGAAATCAAGCTCAAGTTCAAGGATACTTTACAAAAAATATTATTCAAACAAAAGTGATATCTACCAGCGGAGACGAACCTCAGGCGAAGAAGTTCTAAGCTACTAAGATCAGCCAAGCTATTCATATTCGTAAGCAACATCAAATTCTCTACTTTTCATCTCGATTCTCGGAGGGACACTCAAACATGTTCCCCCATCAGACTAGAAGCAAATATCAGTGAAAATAAACAAATAAATGGGATTATAATAAGTCAATGTAATGTTGCGTTTAGAAAATTATAGTATTCGACGAGCACGATATGCAATGTTTTAATCAAAATTTCGAAATATAATCCGTTCGTTCGTCACAGTAGGTACAATTATATTGACAAAAAAAGCTATTCAGTTTATTTTGCATTTATGTAGTTGGAATAATGCTAATATAACTTTTCAGAAACCAATTAAACAAATTTATCTAGAAAAAACAGTGCAATCATGTACTTGTTAGTATTACTTAATAAAATGCAATTCAAATTTATTTATTGTTCATACTGCTCTATACTAAGCTGTTGGTGCCAATAGAGCATAGAGATAGGCATCTTGCAAACAGCCATTTATAAATTCAGTTTTTGATAACTTGTGATCTGAATTTAAATCCATTTTTGAAAATATTTGATCAACCTTTTTCTCTGGCGAATTTATACCGGTTTTTGACTCTCCGGTTAGATCATAGATAGACTAAAAAATTTAATATTGTTCAGGAATGAAATCGAGGACTTTCTTACAAAACTTACTTCTAATATTCTTCGCATTTCTGCTTTGTCTATAAAACCGCTATTATCCATGTCTGAAAAGAAAAACAGCCAGTTTTTGAAGTATATGAAATGTGCACTGTATGTATGACAACCAAATATTGACGAGTAAGAACCGAACAGGAAAACACTTATCAAAGATTTATTTTTAGATTTTCAGCGTGTCTTCATCACCGGAGCCACACTGACTACTATTTAACAAGATTCATGCAGAAGTTTGAATACCATTCATTTCGAAACAAAATCTATGTCGTAGTTTTTTGAATACTTCTGAAGAAAAGATTATAAGGATCTAAGGTATTCAGCATTTTGTGCCTAAGACCTAAGCGCATCTGTCTACGTATGGAGAATTGAACATTATGTATTTTCAGATGTGAATAAAGGAGGAGGTGGGCAAATACCACATGCTTTAACGGATTTTCAATTGTGACGACACAGATGGATAGACTCCGACCTCACAAGCTCAAAGCCGTTAGCTATTACAGTTTCGAAGATCTAGCAGTAGAAATGTCTGTGACCAGGCTTTTCTGGTCACGAGAAATCGTTTTCAAAATTTTTATGAAATTATTTCTCAAAAGGAACTACGTTAAATATTCTTGATTTTCACTTTCTGCAGTTGTCCTAGCTCTCAGAATATTCCCACACACACGTAGATCTTTTCAGGGATAGTAAACAAACTGTTATTCAGGAAACTAATGAAAAAAATAATATAAACCCTTTTGCCAGGCATAACTAGGGATGCACTGGTTTAGGTTAACCGATCAGTGGTTGTAACCGAAAGTCATAATTGGTATCTCAGGAAAGTTTATCAACAAATACTTTTAACGTTTTAGTCTTCGTTGTTTCCATATCTTCTATATTTAAATAAGCGGTTTGTGGAATAAGCGGAAAGTTTGTGGCTCGTCACATGACAAAAAAAGTATCAATACTGGACTCGAACAGTAGAAGTCCGGCTCGAATCTATTATACGACGCATTCTTCTTCGGATATCTCAGTTCTGTTTCAAATTGTTCAGCGTTTTTCATCAGCAGAAAACAAAATTTTCTTCTTTAGTTTAAAGTTTAAGCATTACGGTGCAGTCCAGAGCCAGTTTCTGAAAATGTTCAATCCTGCATTTCATATCCTATGAACATCTCTGAAAGACGGGCTACAACCCCACTGAAAATGTTGAATTGCTTTCTAACCATAGGTGTTATATTTATGTTTATTATTATTCTATATCAGGAGACAAATTACACGCACGCTCACACAGAAAACCCGGAGCTATTACTACTGTGTATCGCACGGAAGAAGGAAAGGATTAACTATATGATGAAATACACACATGGAAAAGAAAAACATGACGCCATGTCATATTCGAACAGAACGAACCAAAGATATATATCAGTGTCCAAACTCCGATCCAGGCCAGTCTGAGATCTAGTCTAAACTCCGATCGTAGTTTGACCTGTAATTTCAGTAATCCAAACTACGAAAGGAGATTCGACTAGGCCAATCTTGGTCGAAAGAAATAATTGCAGTTCAAAGTTACATTGGACTAACTGTTCTAGTCCAAACTGAGATTAAAAATTTTCTCAGGCCAAACTCAGATTGAGTTGAATATCAATTTATTTAACTATAAAAATACTTAACTGAATACAGATGAAGAGAACATCCAACCAAAAAGTTTGAGGCACAGACTTGTTTATTTTACGATTATTAATAAAATCGTTATATTCCATAACAGGAAATCAGACAAATTAAGTGCAAGAGTTTGTTTACTACAAGTGAAGTTTTTGTTATGCGCGCGCAGTATTGCAATGATATTATTTTTTCTATTATAACTTTACTATTTCATATGTGTTTTGTCTGGTCGAGTTTGACCTGACGAAATTTTTAATCTCAGTTTGGACTAGAACAGTTAGTCCAATATAACTTTGAACGGTAATTATTTCTTTCGATCAAGATTGGCCTAGTCAAATCTCCTTTCGTAGTTTGGACTACTGAAATTACAGGTCAAACTGTTCAAAAATCTAAACTCCGATCGTGGGCTACGATCGCAGTTTAGACTAGTTCAAACTACGATTGGGATTTGATCTGAGATTGGATCAGAGTTTGGACGCTGACATATACATCTAGAATAACAGAGAGACAACAAAGATATAAACATTATTCAACATCAAAGGAAAGAAGCTACTCAAGTAGACTACAATATATCTAATGGAACTCCTGATATAACAATAGCAACACGACCATAGGAAAATGTCACAGATATACCGGTTACAACCGATATCGATTGCTCAGTTAAAAAAGTAAGTGGTGCATCCCTAGCCATAACATTAGTCAGGAAATTTGTTGTTGTTCGCAGTAGAAGCCAGAGTATTTTTCGAATGGTAACGCATATCTGTGGTCTAACAAACAGTCGGAATTCCCACGTAACTCATGCTTTGCGACGTCATATAACTTCAAAATATGAGCACCACATTCTAAATCATACTCAGCAGTTGCAAACTATATGATTTATCGCTGCGTTGCTCAACAGATGTCATGCACTGCTAGCTAAAACTGACGATATAAATACATGAGAAATGCACCGTAAAATTGTTATTATTGTTCCGGTCATGATCACAGTAAAGAGGAAAAACAGTTAAATTGAAACACATGTCACGAGAAATAAAGACATCGTCATACGAGTGATTGTATTATAACTTGACGTTGGCCAAGTGGCTGAATCTGACTCGATTGAACTCTTGCTGAAAATTGACATTTCGATAGTGCAATCACAATCTGACATTGGATGAAGAAACGCTATTTTCAGTACAAAAAAATATGGCATTAGAACGAGTATGCCGTTAGATTCAATCAGCTTCGCCGCTCAACAAGTATATGGTATTCTGAAATTCGATAAAATTTGTGATAATACTGCATTTATTTATTACCAGTACGTTCAATCGAGGCCGAGATTCATAGGTTACTTTCTCAGAACGAGCTATAATGACGTTTGTAATCGAAAATGAGAAAAATTTATATGTAGCTGCAAAAGAATCGACGGTAGTTAAGTAACTTATATAGTACTATTATTTTCGGTTTTACATTAAGGAACCGACGGTTATTTCTCCAATAATTGCACGCCATATTCAGCACAGTCAATTACACATGTTTCGTGCGATCACTCCTGGAGCTCTACAAGAATCGAATACCGCACCCGAACCACTGGGAATCTAGATCGTGCTTCATTTCCATTGCAAACAGAACATTTGGGGTTATGTACTGATGCAAAAAATCCACTAGAGTATCATGTTAAGTTTCGTAGAACTAAACTGATTTTCTAAAGATCTCCTCAAAACCATATTTCGGAAAACAGTTTCTTCAGTAATTCTGCTTGTGGGACAACGTCTTC